GGAATTCGTACTGGAGTAAAGCAGTCCGCAGCAGTTATCACAGGGCCTGCCCTTGACTTGGCCAGCCCAGTCCCCACCGGACCACAGGGAAGCCTCCCACATATTTAAACCTGGGTTTACCAGTTCTAAAGTAGTAATGTTACCACCATTTTAATTTAAGATCAAAATAGCAGAACCAGAAAAATTCCCTAATTCAGCTATACTTTCAGTTCAGCTACTTTGGCCTTAAATGTCAACTTCACATCAGTAAATAGTCATGCACAGTGATTGCTCTAGCACACAGCATTAAAACCCCTCCGGCCACTTACCTTTCTCCAGCGCCGGGCTCCCTCGGCGCTGGTGACCTCTCCTCCTCCTGCCGACGTCAGCGCCGAAAGCGCATGCGCGGCAAGAGCCGCGCGCATTCAAATCGCCCATAGGAAAGCATTACTCAATGCTTTCCTATGGACATAAGCGTCTTCTGTGATTAACCCTAATGTAAACATAGCAGTTTTTCTGAAACTGCTATATTTTCAGCTGCAGGGTTAAAACTAGAGGGACCTGGCACCTAGACCACTTCAGCTCAATGAAGTCTGGGTGCCTATAGTGGTCCTTTAACCCCTTAAGGACACATGACGGAAATATTCCAACACACACACAGTGGCGTAACTACCATGGTCGCAGGAGTTGCAGTGGCGTCCAGGCCCCCTGGAGTGAAGGGCCTGGTCGCAGCTGTGACCCCTGCGACCGTGGTAGTTACGCCGCTGTGTGTGTTTCGGTGAGCTTATCCGTAAATGAGACTGTGTGTGTCAGTGAGCGTATCTGTCAGTGAGCTTCTCTGTAGTGAACATGTGTGTTGTGTCATTGAGCTTTTCTGTAGTGAGCATGTTGTGACCTGGCCCCCCCGACTGGGCACCTCTGCCAACAGATGCTTCCTAGCTGCACTGGACACCACAAGCACCGCATACTACACAACCACTGTAAGCTTAGCTGGGATCTCACCATCTTCCTCCCACCCTGGACCAACCTCTTATATACAGGACCATGTGGGAATGACCTCTCCTCCAGGAGTGTAAAGCTGTATAGCTCTTATAAGAGCTAGTGCTATAGCAGTACAGCAGTTCCCGAGGGTTAAGCAGGGCTTTATTTTAATGGTGCCACAGCTGGCCTTATATGCAAGTCCCCATGCAAGGGAGCACCCACCTGGACCAGATGGGGCACAGGGTTACAAAGTTGACAAACCAATAAAAATAGTGTTACAATGCTTGACACTCCCACACACAGCACACAATCCCTCCCCTCTGCATGGAAGATAATTTAGTAAAGTACTGTATGTAATTCAATTAACTCCAGGCAGAAAAACAACATATTTTATAAAGTTCCATAAAAACCCCAAAACACAACATATCCCCATAAATGTTACATCCCCTGATAGCCCTGATCTGGATGAACAACATACCCAGGTCAGAGTATGGGTTCAGGAAATTCCTGGAAGTCTCTTTATGACTGCATGCATGCAGTGTTTCATGCCCAAAACAGTTCCAGAGAATACTGTTCAAATTACCGAACGTAGCCGTTCGTGAATGTAGTCAGTATATGTCCCTTGTTCATGGGCTTCTGCCCACCGAACGCCGTTCGAGTCCCATTCCAATAGCCCGAAGTTCCATGGAAGGTAATTGTTCAGCGGTGTTCGTGCCGTCGCGTGTCCGATTTGAGTTCCATGAACTTGACTACAAAACACAGCTGAACACATTCGACTAAACAAGATGGCGGCCGCCACGTGTTCGACTATACGAACAGTAACCACCCAGCCGTTCACCAATCTGGCTGCGGTTAACTACCAGTCTGGGAGGTAAATAGGCTGCATACTCCACTTGCGTGTGGTCCAGCTGTTCGAACCACTTTGAAAATTTGAAGAATTATTGTCCAAAGTCCTAATAGGTACAATTAGGGTTTTTAAACATAATAAGGTAAAAGGCTGGCAAGTAGTCCCCTCCAAACCCCAGTGGTGAAGTGGCTTTCGCCACACGTGTGTGTGTGTGTCAGTGACCTTGTCTGGAGGGAGCATGTGTGTCAGTGAGCCTGTCTGTAGTGAGCATGTGTATGTGTGTCAAGAGAGCTTCTCTGTAGTGAGCGTGTGTATACCAATGAGTTTGTCTGTAGTAAGCTTGTGTGAGTGTTAGAGTTTGTACTACGTTTGTGTTTGTGTGTACCAGACCAGTTTGTCTGTGTGAGTCAGTGAGATTGTCTGTCTGTCTGTCAGTGAGCATATTTGTGTGTATCAGTGAGCTTGTGTTTTTATGTCAGTGAGCTTATGTGTATCAATGAGATTGTCTGTCTGTGAGCCTGTGTATCAATGAGCTGTATCAATCAGTCAGTGAGATTGTCTGTGTCTGCATGTGAGTATGCTTACTGTATAATTAAACTTTTTACCCTGAACGACCCAATATTTTGAATTAGAAAAAGGAACATACCAATATTATATACACACACACACAGACACGCACACACTTTTCTATATATGTATGGGCTGGCATACATTTTTTTCCAGGGCTGCTTTGTATCCCAAGTTCGGCCCTCATCTCAACTATAGTTACAGTTTGGCTGTATTAAAGGGACACTATAGTCACCAGAACAACTACAGCTTAATATAGTTGTTCTGGTAAGTATAATAGCTCCCTTCAGGTATTTTCATGTAAACACTGCCTTTTCAGAGGGTGTTTACATTGTTCCTAGGGACACCTCCTCAGATGGCCACTGGAGAGGCTTCCTGGCTCAGGGCTGCACAGTAAGCAGCCCTGCCGTTCAGCATCCCCACGCTCTGCATGAAGACGCTGAATTTTCCTCCTATAGATGCATTGATTCAATGCATCTCTAGGAGGAGGTCATAATTGGCCAAAACGGCATTTGACGCTGGAAATAAGGTGAGTTTTAAACTTTTATAGGGAGGCTAAGGAGGGGCAAGCCACCTAAATGGTGGGTTAAACACTATAGGGTCAGGAATACATGTTTGTGTTCCTGACCCTATAGTGATCCTTTAAGCTCAGTTTTGTCATTCAGACTGTCAATTCAGAGTTTAGTGAAGGGCCCTGATGAATTTAGGCTGAAAGAATCAATTACAATGAACTTGTTATCTTAGATAACAGCTAGGACATTTAATATCTGATTGGCTATAGCAATCACAGAAATTTGGAACCAATCGGGGCTGGTGCACTGATTTTTGGCTATACAAGTGAAGAAGTATTGCGTAGGCCATAGTATCTTGTAATCCTGCCTTTTACCCATCCTTGCCCCTTTTCTGTATTATAAGTCCTTTTGTGTCTTTTTTTTCCCCTCTTTTGCATATTGTATCCCTCTTTTGTGGTCTCCGACTCCCTCACTTATCTCTTTTGCCCCGTTTTGAATATCTTAACCCCTGTTTAGTGTATCTTACCCACCTTTTGCCTTTTGCCCCTGTTTCTCATAGAATCCCTTTGTCTCTTATTCACTTTATTTCCACATGTGTCTTTTAGCCCCTGTGTACCTTGCTTTTTGTGTTTCTTCTTTTTTTGTCTCCCCCGTCTGTAGCATGTCCTCATGGACTGCAGTAGAGGATCTTCTTTCTTTATTCTCTAACCAATCTGACAGAAAGCTGCTCATTCCTCGCCCCTCATGTCACAGTGAGCAGCTACCTGTCAGACTGAGTATAAAATAAAGAAGATCCTCTACAGCGGTCCACGAGGTCACACTACGCACAGTTACCAGCAGGAGAGGGGAGCTCTTTGTATACCGCTCCTGCCTGCCACCAGGACTTTGTACCCCCGGGGCAGTGTGACTTCAGGCAGCTACCACCTTATAGTAGCATCAGTCTAGCAGACAATCAAGGTATATTGCCGAACCTTTTTTTACTTGAGAGGCAGCCACCAAATCACCCGGTACATACCAATCTTGGCAAATACTGAGGACAGATCCTGCCTCAAGCTCTGCAGCACTAGACAAGCACCAATTTTCTGTGAGAGCTTGACGCAGTGATTGGATGACAGGGGCAGCCGCATCATGTAATGATGGACTGCCTCTTACCATAGGCGTCAAGTCACCCTGGTATATGCAGATCTTGGTGGAGATTGTGGCCTGCACCTTCTGGTCCAGAATCACAAAGGAGTGCTTAAAGTGAACTGCAATAATTTCCATTTTGCTGCCTGCTGTATTTATATTTCTCTCGCAATGGTACAATAGATATAAATGTACAAATTTCACAGCTTTCATTGTGATGGTTAGGCCGCAGTGAGAATGCGTTACCTATTCTTCAATTATCTTGCACACATTGCTTAATTCATCTTTCGCATGGATAGAGTTTATAGGGAAGTACATTTGGGGATGCAACTCCTTTCACGGTAGAAGTAGTATAGTACAGTACACAGGAGGATTGAAATACATATTAACTATCCATATGCAACACATTTAAACATATTGTACATATGTTTTAGTTTTATACTGTACATTGAAACTGTTTGTTAGCACAAATAATGACCCCTTTCTCCATTACAAAGGGTATTCGTTATGAGGCTTTGCTGTCTCTTTAAATTTACAGAGATCACACCAATGGCACTTCTGTGAAGTACATACTGTTTAATTGTGTATGCATCCTCTTTATGCCCCTATGAGTGATAACATATGCTTTAAACCACGCTGATCAGCAAATGTTATTCAGAAAAATCTGGGTGACTAGGTTAATAACTGTCAGTGACTTATGCAATACATCTATTCTTTCTTTGGCAATCTACTGGTTAAATGGGAGGTCTTTCTATCTGACTTCCTTTTTTCTTTTAACTTTTTGGAGTATTTGCAGGTGAATAAATATGTACAACTATGCAGTCTACAAAATATTTTGCCCTTTTCTAAGCTAAAAGGGCAAGTTAATGATGTACACAATCTGTATATTTTCATGTATAAAGCATAGAAGCTTGTTATAGTTTGTATGTTTTAAACTTATCTCTGCTTTTCATGTTGTTTACCACTATGCTGTCTTGTCTCACTGTTGACTGACATGTCAGGAGCCAATCAGAGTGCAATGTGGGGAGGAGCCTGGAGAAACTGGTGAGAAATACAGGAGGCAGCGCCTTCATTTAAGGTGGAAAGATGAAATCTTGTAGCTAAGACTTTCACTGAAATATACACACCTGCGTGACTGCGAAGAAAAGTTTTTAATAGTCGAAACAAAATAAGGAAAGTCAAACAAGTGTGTCGGTATTTCTCAGAAAAGCAGTATTATTGTACAGCGCTGCGGAATTTGTTGGTGCTTTAAAAATATTAATATTAATGATAATCACAAAGCATATTCATTACTGTAGTTTTCAGTAGAACTCAACTGGATAAAACTTTCTTTGCCATTTTGACATTGGCCTTGCAGCGTGAAATCAGGGATAGGAAATTAGTAGTGAGGAGTGTGAAGGGGAAGTGGTATAATGTATCTTGACAGAGCTCCCAGCAATATATCCCACCGACCATTAACATGCAGCTTGTATGTCCTATTTGGGACATTTTTTAAGCCGGCCAATGTAATTTACCCCCATCAAACTATATATTTTTGAAGAGTAGACCCCCTAGGGTATTTCAAATGGAGGTATTTTAACACTTTCCATGCACTAATTCTAACACCAATCTTCATGGATTGCAGGATAAAACTTACAAGGAAATGTTAAAGGAACTTAACATGTATAGCTTGGAGGAAAGACGAGACAAGGGGGATATGATAGAAACATTTAAATACATAAAGGGTATCAACACAGTAAAGGAGGACACTATATTTAAAAGAAGAAAAACTACCACAACAAGAGGACATTAGAGGGACAAAGGTTTAAAAATAATATCAGGAAGTATTACTTTACCGAGAGGGTAGTGGATGCATGGAATAGGCTTCCAGCTGAAGTGGTAGAGGTTAACACAGTAAAGGAGATTAAGCATGCGTGGGATAGGCATAAGGCTATCCTAACTATAAGGTAAGGCCAGGGAATAATTAAAGTATTTTTTTAAAAATTGGGCAGACTAGATGGGCCGAATGGTTCTTATCTGCTGTCACATTCTATGTTTCTATGTCTTTGTAATTTTACTCTAAGTGTATTTTTATATTAATATATGTATATATTAATATAAAAAATCACTTCTTATGATGTTATATAAGATATATATACATATTATATATTAATTTTATTTTTACTTTTATTAACTTTGTTTTTTTACTTTTCCACCAGCAGAGGGACTGCCTGTCAGTTCAGGCAGTCCCCCTGCTGGCAGCACTCTGGACTCTTATAGAGTGGCCACATAGCCCCTGGGGATCCTTTTTTGCAGAGTGGGACTCTCTAGGCTCAGTCCAGGGAGTACCCCCAAAGAAGAAGACCGATAGCCAGCGGAGGAACGGCGGCGATCGGTAAGTACATGGGGAGGGAGGGAATGTAGGGGTTAAATTTAAAAAAAAATTATTTAGTTTAAAAAAAACAAAAAAATAATCTTTTTCTTTACTATTACTGAGTGCCTTGACACCCCGAGGCACTCAGTAGAGACAGAGCATTGGAAGCCTGTCTGAAGGCTTCCGATGCTCTGTCTCACTGCCGGGCTCCACGTGGAGCAACCCGGAAGTGATCGCTCCGGGTGGAGCGATCACCCGGCAATCTCCGGTGGCCTACGGCAGTGAGGGAGGGTATTACAGCGATGCCTCAACATCGCTGTAATACCATTAGAGCTGCTGGAAGCGATCATGATTCAGCAGTTCAGTTCTTGTAAAACAAAAGTTGTTAATTAGTTCGGACAACTGTATGAGTTGTTTTTTCTAAACTTAAACCTCAGTATTCAGGTTTAATTGCCGTGTTGGCACTTTGAGGGAAAAAAAGTTGGCATGTATTGCTGTTTGGGCACTCTGGCTCAAAAAGGTTCGCCATCACTGCCCTAGCGGACTGTGTTGCCTTGCCCATAAAGGTCACAAGATGGTGGAGAATGCGGGCATCTAAAGCACATTTATACGGTCTGTGGGTATAGAGGCCTAAGGTACTGTGAATCTGCAAACGGAGACTAGTTGTTTGAAACAGAGACCTGCAGGTGTGGTGTGTGGTATTTACCAAGTGGCTATGAAAAAAAAAAAGCAAGATGGAAGAGTTAGTAAAAGCCTTGGTACAGGCTACTACTACCCAGCAAGACACAATCCGTGTAACAGCGGCTCAGATCAGTAGCCTCATGGAGTCACAGCGACAGGCTGTTGCGGCCCAACAGGAGACAAACCGCTTATTGGCCACACAAATAGACTGCGTTATGGAAACACAGCGGGAAGACAGTAAAACTAACAAGTGCTTTGCAACAAACCATACTGTCAAGTGTGACTAACCCTACTATGGATAGGGGGTGCCAGATTAGCGTTACTGACTTTTTACATAAAGTGAGTGAGGTTGATGACATGGAGGCTTACCTGACAACCTTTGAAAGAATTGCTACCCAAGAAGGATGGCCTCCAGGTCAGTAGGCATGATTATTAGCCCCTTGCCTCACTGGAGAATCCCAAAAAGCATATGATGATTTGCCGCTCAGCCAAGCACAAGACTATGACCAATTAAAAGCAGAAATAATAACACGTCTTGGAGTTACGCCTGCAGTGCGAGCCCAAAGATATAATGCATGGGTTTATGATACAGAGAAATCTACTAGGTCACAAATGTATGACCTCTTGAGACTTGGCCAGAAATCAACTCTGCTGCAGTAATCATTGAAAAGGTGGTTATGGATCGCTTTCTCAGGAGTCTGCTGATAGCGCTACGGAAATGGGTCAGTCAAGCGGATCCAAAGGACCCAGAAAAAATGATGAACTTGACAGAGAGATACCGGTTTGCTAATGAAACTCAGAGTAAAGAATTTTTGGTACAGACAGATGCGTCTGATGTGGGCCTAGGAGGGGTTCTTTCTCAAGTACACAGAGGAGAAGAACATCCCATTATGTACCTGAGCAAAAAGCTGAATTCCCATGAACAGAGATACTCAGTAGTTGAGAAAGAATGCTTGGCCATAAAATGGGCACTAGAAACACTTAAGTATTATCTATTGGGGAGAAGGTTCAAACTTGTCACAGATCATGCACCCTTGACGTGGATGAGACAAAACAAGGAAACAAATGCCAGAGTAACTAGGTGGTTCCTTAGTCTTCAGCCATATAACTTCTCTATGGAGCATAGAGCTGGTAAAGACCAGGGGAATGCAGATGGTTTATCCAGAGTCCATTGTTTGTGGTCAAAGGTTGCTACGACCAATGGGTCTAAGCTGGCGGGGAGGATATGTGACAGAGTCTATGGGAGGGTAATAGAAGGAAGGTATTTAGGACCCAGAATCCTCCATAACCTGTACTCATTCACCTTCCCAATTAGGAACTGCTGAGGCTTTAATTAGCAGGTCTCAGAGCAGAAAGGAGAGAGGTTCAATCTGACCTGCAGAGAGCAGCACCAGAAAAAAGTGCTAAAGGTTGGTGAAACCAATGTTTATTTTGTTGATTTGTTTAGATTATTACCATGGTTTAGTAAGTCCTCGAATTTGAGCTAGGATTTTGTTTGTAGACTTTCCTTTCTGTTTTGCTGCAGTTTTGAACAAATTGATTGCTGCATGGATTTTTGTGCACAATGTAAATAAACCACACTTTTTGCATAAGAGACTGTTCTATACCTGTTACCCTAGAGGACTGTGTTGCTTTGCCCATAAAGGTCACATGAGTTATCTACTTATTCATTCCTGTCGTTACATTGACTGGCCAAGTAACTTACATTTTATATGAATGTCTGTTACTTGATTGTTGCAAATGCTTACAGCTGAATCCTGGGTATGTTTTGTATAATTTTTATTTAAAATTGTATACAGTGTAACATTTCTTCATTCTTCCACTGGGTAAGTATATTAGTTCTTGGGCAATACTGTGCTTCGGCACTTGGACAATTTTGGAACTTTGGCAATTCATCTATTCGGAAGTACCCGCATGTCCGAATTTCCCAAAATTCGTCCGAATTCACATTCAGACCAAAACGAATTGCACATGTCTAATACGTGTGTGATGATGGCGATGTGCCAGAGGAATGCTTGTCACCATATTGCAAGCATAGTACAAGCACATCATACCTTACGATAAACACAACATAAGTAAAACACATCTTATTGCAAGTTCAACATAGGCAAATCACACCTTTTTACAAGCATAACACAGGGATCTCACACCACATCAGTGACCGAATGGAGATAAAAACCAGCTCTGGAAACAATTGTATAACAGACCAATAGCATTGCGTCATACCAGCTCCATATCATGACATTATTTTCTTGTTCATAAGAGGGAAAATCATGCATTTTAAAGCACATTTGAAAACTGTATTATTGATAAAACTGATCTATAATCCTGCACAGGGCAATATATACCCCCCAATATGTACACAAGGTTATATCTCACATACTGTCTGATATATGCCACATGCACAGGTCAATATATAGGCCCCAGTATGTAAACAAGGTTACATGAATTACCCTATTCAGGGGTATACAGTTGCAAGAAAAAGTATGTGAACCCTTTGGAATGATATGGATTTCTGCACAAATTGGTCATAAAATGTGATCTGATCATCATCTAAGTCACAACAATAGATAATCACAGTCTGCTTAAACTAATAGCACACAAAGAATGAAATGTTGCCATGTTTTTATTGAACACACCATGTAAACATTCATAGTGCAGGTGGAAAAAGTATGTGAACCCCTACACTAATGACATCTCCAAGAGCTAATTGGAGTGAGATGTCAGCCAACTGGAGTCCAATCAATGAGATGAGATTGGAGGTGTTGGTTACAGCTGCCCTGCCCTATAAAAAACACACACCAGTTCTGGGTTTGCTTTTCACAAGAAGCATTGCCTGATGTGAATGATGCCTTGCACAAAAGAGCTCTCAGAAGACCTACGATTAAGAATTGTTGACTTGCATAAAGCTGGAAAGGGTTATAAAAGTATCTCCTTGCTGTTCATCAGTCCACAGTAAGACAAATTGTCTATAAATGGAGTAAGTTCAGCACTACTGCTACTCTCCCTAGGAGTGGCCGTCCTGTAGAGATGACTGCAAGAGCACAGCGCAGACTGCTCAATGAGGTGAAGAAGAATCCTAGAGTGTCAGCTAAAGACTTACAAAAGTCACTGGCAAATGCCAACATCCCTGTTAGCGAATCTATAATACGTAAAACACTAAACAAGAATGGATTTCATGGGAGGATACCACAGCGGAAGCCACTGCTGTCTAAACAAAACATTGCTGCACGTTTACAGTTTGCACAAGAGCACCTGGATGTTCCACAGCAGTACTGGCAAAATATTCTGTGGACAGATGAAACCAAAGCTGAGTTATTTGGAAGAAACACACAACACTATGTGTGGCGAAAAAAAAGGCACAGCACACCAACATCAAAACCTCATCCCAACTGTGAAGTATGGTGGTGGGGGCATCATTGTTTGGGGCTGCTTTGCTGCGTCAGGGCCTGGACGGATTGCTATCATCGAAGGAAAAATGAATTCCCAAGTTCATCAAGACATTTTGCAGGAGGACTTAAGGCCATCTGTCTACCAGCTGAAGCTCAACAGAAGATGGGTGTTGCAACAGGACAATGACCCAAAGCATAGAAGTAAATCAACAACAGAATGGCTTAAACAGAAGAAAATACGCCTTCTGAAGTGGCCCAGTCAGAGTCCTGACTACAACCCGATTGAGATGATGTGGCATGACCTCAAGAAAGCGATTCACACGAGACATCCCAAGAATATTGCTGAACTGAAACAGTTCTGTAAAGAGGAATGGTCAAGAATTACTGCTCTGCAACTACAGGAAACGTTTGGTTGAAGTTATTGCTGCCAAAGGAGGTTCAACCAGTTATTAAATCCAAGGGTTCACATACTTTTTCCACCTGCACTGTGAATGTTTACATGGTGTGTTCAATAAAAACATCGCAACATATCTTCTTTGTGTGTTATTAGTTTAAGCAGACTGTGATTGTCTATTGTTGTGACTTAGATGATGATCAGATCACATTTTATGACCAATTTGTGCAGAACTCCATATCATTCCAAAGGGTTCACATACTTTTTCTTGCAACTGTATATCAGGGCAGTGTGTGAGACATCACCTTGTGTTTATACTGGGGCATATATTGACTTACCCCAGCACAGAGATTGCACTCACATGACTTACCCCAACACCTAGGACTTACCCCAGCATGGTGATTGCACTCACAGGACTTGTCCTAGCACCCAAGACTTACGCCAGCATGGAGACTGCACTGACAGTACTTGCCTCATGACCTCTGAACAGCCTCCAGCACAGAAACAATACCAGATATGAGATTTCTGGCAACATCACACTGCCCGAGTGTGGGCTCTCTCGTATTCTTACAGCCTGACTCTTAAAGCGGCCATCTCAGAACACTTAAAGGACACATCCCACAGTTGCCCCAGGGCAGTCCAACTGTTTGCGTCTAATGGGAACTGCATGTGATTTATTGGGTTGTCTGTTTGTGATAAGAATAGTTTGTGTGTGATGTTATTGAGCTGTGTACGTGTGATGGAAACTGTGGGTTAGCATTGGGCTGGCTGTGTGTGATTAGAATGTGTGTGATCATTTTATGCTGTCAATGTGTGATGGGGACTGCTTGTGCTTGTTGTAGGTTTGGGCTGGCTGTGTATGGTGGGACTAGCTGTGTTTGTCTTCATGTCATAGTAATAAACCCTGATGTGTATATAGCCTCATCTACAGGGCTGCCATGAGAAATTATGGGTCATCTGACAAAGCTCAAGGTCTGGGCCAAATGGGGCCCACCTCCGAGTCCGCCCACAGTGTATATAGTGGATGTAGAATTAGGGCTTATTCTAGCTTCAGTGACTAATCTAAATTTTATTAAAGACAGGAGGCAAATAGTTGCTTTACTGAATCCTCCCAGCAGCAAAGAAACAGTTAAACAATTAAAAACAAAATCAACCAATCAGAAGACATCCATACAGTAATATGTGGCTATAAGACTCCTCCCAACTCCTCTTTCTTGATGCAGCCGAAACTTGGAAGTCCACTGTGTAAACCAGAAAATAGTCTGCAAAACACAGAGCATAGTCAACCATGTAAACGAGGAATAAAGAGTCCAATGAAGAGACGAATCAGGGATGCCGTGAAGGACAAGAAGAAACTTCATACTAGAACGAAAAGAAAATTTGTGAAAGTATGGTGTGATTGGAAGACTGGCAGTCATACAGAAACAAACACTAATGTAACAAGTTGTGTCAATAATTATGCAATATACATATATTATGAAAACGAGAGTAATCTAAACATTTTACAACAAAACCATGATCAAAATATATACGAGGCAAGTAAAATGCATGTAAGACCTTACCTGAGTATCACAAGTGAACATAATAAAGGGGTGGGACATTGAAAGATTTAAAGAAACCAACGGGTGGGAAAATATTTGCCTCCTTTCTTTAATAAAATTTAGATTAGTCACTGAAGCTAGAATAATCCCTAATTTTATGGCAAAACAGGAGGCTTCATATTTGCAGTTTTAAAGCCTGGAGAGTAAATGGAAATAAACGTGAGATGCAGGTCGGAAATATAAGGTACGGAAAGTGGATTCTCGTGATCAATCAGCAGAAGATAGAACGTCTGAAAGAGACCTCCTGGGGACCAAGGCAGAAGATACAGCTGTGCACCGAATGGGCACCAAAAGAAGCTTCAATGCTCGCAAGACGAAGAAGCCATCTAATACAACGAGAAATCATGTGACAGTACATGAGGACAAATATAAAATACAAACAGACGTCCCAAAGGAGCCCGAAGAAGGGAGATAAGAGTGACATATCGCTGTAATTGGGCAGACTAGATGGGCCGAATGGTTCTTATCTGCCGTCACATTCTATGTTTCTATGTTTCTATGTAAGCAATGAGCAACACAAAGAGAAGGTCTATCCGGAAAGTAAGGATCAAAAACGGAGGTGGAAATAACCTTTGTGCAACAAATTAGGAAAAATTAACACCCTCAGAGTGAACGCAATAGCGTGGAAGTCAAATGCCATGATGTCAGAAACTTGATGAACGGAAACCAAACAAAGCAATTGTTACGCTACTTGGGTGATTTGGATTGGAACTCAACTGCAGCTTGTAAAACTCCCTAATTACAATAGTGAAGAAACGGAGAATCTTTAAAGTATCAATACTGTAGCTTTAAGAAAAGAGAGAATCACTGGTAACTTGATTCAACCGAAGTTTTAATAAGTGTTAAACTTAAATGAATTGCATTTAGGCAATAATCCAATAAGAAGAAGTGCAAGTAATCAACAACACAAAGTTCATTATTAAAGGACCACTATAGTGCCAGGAAAACATACTCGTTTTCCTGGCACTATAGTGCCCTGAGGGTGCCCCCACCCTCAGGGACCCCCTCCCGCCCGGCTCTGGAAGGGGGAAAGGGGTAAAAACGTACCTTTTTCCAGCACTGGGCGGAGAGCTCTCCTCCTTCTCTCCTCCTCTTCTCCGCCCCGTCGGCTGAATGCGCACGCACGGCGAGAGCTGTGTGCGCATTCAGCAGGTCACATAGGAAAGCATTCATAATGCTTTCCTATGGACGCAGGCGTGCTCTCACTGTGAAAATCACAGTGAGAAGCACGCAAGCGCCTCTAGTGGCTGTCAATGAGACAGCCACTAGAGGGAATAGGGGGAAGGCTTAACCAGCTTAATCTCTGAAACTGCTATGTTTATAAAAAAATGGGTTAACCCTAGAAGGACCTGGCACCCAGACCACTTCATTAAGCTGAAGTGGTCTGGGTGCCTAGAGTGGTCCTTTAAGTATTTCTTCAGAGATGAATAAAGTAACATTCTTTAAGTACATGAGAATAATCTTCAATAGAAACAATAAGCAAGTAGCTAAGAATATTTGCAGAGCAAGAACAGTTCATAGTTAATAAGCATGATGGGAGTTGTCCTCCATATAATTAGTAGCTTGAAGCAGTGAAGATTTGAGTAAGCAAGCATTAGTTCATTATTAAATGATATTGTAGACAAATATCTGAAAGATATACTTAAGGTTAATGTAAGTAGTCCTCCAATAGTTCAGAGGGGTATGGTCCACTTGTAAAGTAAGTGAGTTTCCGTTCTCCAGTAATCCTCTATGACATGAAGCATACTTGTCTTGGCTCAAAGGCTGGAACGGTTTGCCTGAGCTTGTGGAGAGGTAAGTCTGGTGGAAGTAGCTCCCAGTGGCTGAGCCTGTGGAGCCCACGGTCTCGCGGAGGCAGCTCACACATTAGCTCACACACAATCACCAAGCACCCTCTCTCTGGCCCAGTCTCCCTAAATACCATCAGAGCTGTGTCAGAGGGGGGCGGGGTCCGGCTCCTCACAGCTGAGTGACAGCAATAAGGCTAGTTTGGTTGAGAGTTGGAGGAAGGAAAGTTCAGAATTAGGAGGCAATGCTTCCAGGAATGACAAAACCTGAGCAACATCCCAGAATTGGGTGTATTGAGGGAGCCGAGGGTCAAGAAAGACAAATACCCTGTAACAACCTTCAAACAGAAGGATGTTTCCCAACCAGAAATGCGTCAATCGGGATATGACCTGCCAAAATAGCAGAACAAAGAATGTTTATGGTATGGTAAGACTTTCTTTTGTCAAAAGGGGAAGATAGGAAGTTCATAATATTCACCAAAGTAGTTTGAAAAGGGATCAATATCCCTTTCCAAACACCAGCTAACCCAGAAACGCCATGCTGAAAGGTATGCTCTATGAGTTCCGGGGGCCCATGAATCCCAGAGGAGTCCTCGAGATGAGTCAGAAAGTCCTAAGACATACCAGGATCCCCTGAAATCGTCCAGGTCATATGTCAAAGATGACCTTAGATGGCGAGAGGATGGAAGTCCCCTTAAGTATCTTGGAGGAAATTGTGAGGTACCAGGAGAAGCAGAAGGTAATCTTCCGAAATTTCTAGGAGATTGAGATAAAAAGGCTGGGCCCTCCAGAGAGGAGTTATTAAGAGGATCTTGACTCCAAGAACCCTGAGATGATAAAGAGTTCAAGAGATCTTTGAAAAGGGTGGAAAGGCATAAGCCACTGTCGATGTTTGCCACTGTCACAGTAAGAATGTGTCGACGGCTTGAGCCATCTGATCTGGTAGCCAACTGAAAAACAGCGTCGGCCTGACGATTCACTCTGGAAGCAAACAGGTCCAAAGTGAGAGGACTCCGATGTAGATGATGGAAATGCCTGGAACCAGGTGTCAATCGCTGGCATGTGTCCAGTGATGGGAGAACCAGTCTGCCATGAGATTGTCCAGTCCTGGAAGGTATTCTGCTAGAAGAGAGAGGTTCCTGTCCAGACAGAACTGATAAAGTTCTCTCATAAGATCTGACAGGAACTTTGATTGAAAACCCCCTAGGCAATTGACTTTACGGACAGTGGAAACATTGTCCATTCTGAGAACGAAGCTGCGAATCACAAAGGAAAGCTGCCATCAGTCCGAGGCAATTGATATGCAACGTGTGTTCTGATTGTGTCCAGAGTTCATCTGTGGAGAGGTTGGAGCAGGTAGCCCCCCAACCCAGGAGGCTGGTGTCTGACTCCAGGATAAAATTGGGTTGCTACCTGAATATAGCTTTCCCATTCCAGGCTTCCGTGTTGTGGAGCCACCAATCTAACTCTAGTCATACCTTGTCGGTAAGAAAACTGGTTGGTTGTATGACCTGTATCTGTGAAGATAATATGTCTTGAGACATTGTATTGCACATTTATGACCTCTCTCCCTCTTTATCCATATTTCCCTCCCTCTTTTCCTAATGGCAGGCAACTTGTAAACTAACAGAGCATGCTCTATCCTACACATTGTTGGATGTCCATACCCGACGGCGCACTGATTCATATTGAATACCCTACGCAGAGTGGGAGGCGCTCCCCCTCCCAGTGTACAGTGCGTAGGGTTTTCTTTGCCAATCCCGCGCTACGCCCCTACCCCCCCACCGCACAACACCCCGCACGCCACCACACACAGCCACCAAACATGTATGAACACCTTGACATACACATATTATTATTATGTTATTATTTATATAGCACCAACAAATTCTGCAGCGCTTTACAGTACACGCACTATTATACACACACACACACACACACACACACTGACACATAGATATACACATTGAAACACACACTGGCACACACACACACACACAGATACACACTCTGGCACATATATTTAGATACACACACACACACTCATACACATTGACAAACACACTGGCACATACACGTACAAGCATACACACAATTTGACACACACATCATACTTTATATATTTACAGCCATCCTCCTGTTTACCTTTGTGTCCAGGAGGGTGGCTTGATTGGGGTTTAGGTCCTGGCTGAGGCTGATGGGAGTGAGCATGCAGTAGCAGCTTACTCCAGCTTCTCTTCTGCCTTCATGCTGTGCTCCAGCCTCCTCCTCTCTCCATTACAGTGTGCTTCTGCTGCCTCCTCTGTCCATTGCTCCCGGGCGGCGGTTCTCTGAAAAGCTGGAAGGAAGTGGCTGTCACTTAATCCCTGCCAGCTGATATTACAGGGTCCCAGTCGGCTCTTAAAGGGTTGGCACCTCACCTGACCCCTGTTTAGCAATAATTATGGGTGGGAGGAGTAGCGCAAATCATATGAAATACAATGGAAATCACACAGACCTCAGATTGTGTGTGTGTGTGTGTGTGTGTGTGTGTGATTTCCAGTTGTCAGGGAGCAGCATTCAAAATCAGGGAGTCTCCCGGAACTACTGGGAGACTTGGGATGTCTGTGAGTGTATCCAGAGGTCCTCATCAAAAACCTGAAAGGAGTATGAAGTGACTTAGTGCATCACAGAACCCTTCAGCAATAAAACACCATTGAATATGGATGGTATTTGAGGCGTATAATGGAGCACCACATTAATAAATGCACAATGAATGGGTATTGTGTATGAGTGTGTCATAAAAGACAGTTATGTATTTTGTATAAGATTGTCAGAGCTCCACAAACAAACAAAATAAATGGTTACTGCAGAATAGGCCAAACGTGCCACTGCCGCAATCAAGAAGAGGTAAAATTTTTGTTGTGTCACAGAAACACCACCAATAGATCAATATCACATTTGAAGTATTCACGCCCATTTAAAGAAAGATACAAAGAGGTTTATTTGCTGATATATCCTTTGTACAGCTGTTTTCTAATCATCCAATTGTATATTGGATGGTAATTCCTGCATGCAATATGAACAAGTACTTACAGAGAATGTGCTTGCCCCAGTGCTTGGTACAGTGATATTTATTTTTGTGACACTCTAGGCACAGCCAAGTCCTTCACCAGTGTTTATATAATGTGTGTGATTGTAAATTTATATGAGGGATGTGTATGAAAGGATGTTTGTGAAATATGTTAAATGTATGCATATATGAATAAAATTAAACATACATACACAAATACAATCACATTCTGACACACATACACACTGACACACACAGATACACACATATACTGACACAGATACACATACACACTGACAGAGACACATTGTGACACAGATAAACATACACACTAAACTAGCACACATAGCTTCCCTGGGGTCCAGTCATTATCTGGCTGGTGAGATTCTGGTCCAGGCTTTCACTTCCTCCCAGCACTGGCTGCCATTATTAAAGAATAATGCCCATCAGGTGGCCCTAAGTGCATGGACCACCCCATGGACCCACTCACTACGTAGGCCCTGTGGCAGCCACACTGACGGTAGTACTGCCTCTGCATCAACACTTCATATTCTCACAGAGGAGCAATTTTTTATTAGCTTCCCTTTCTTACACACATACAACTATTCACACACACATATTATATATATATATATATATATATATATATATATATATATATATATATATAAATAAAAATGTGTGCTCGGAATCTCTAATATGTAAATGGAATGTAGAGGAGAAGCAAAGTTGGTTGAGGTGTGCCGAAACCAACGTCCGAGTAGGCCTGTAAAAAGAGGGCCCACAAAGTGAAATGTATAAAGGAGGGTGTAGGTGGGTGGGGACAAAACAGCTTAAACGCCAAAGGTAAGTAGGGGGGTAGGGTTTATATAGGGTCATAACTCCTCCCACAAATTCAGGCCAAATGGCCTTCCAATTTGTGCTCGGAATCTCTAATATGTAAATGGAATGTAGAGGAGAAGCAAAGTTGGTTGAGGTGTGCCGAAACCAACGTATGAGTAGGCCTGTAAAAAGAGGGCAAAAAGGAATTTGAATAAACTTGCAATAAAGTGTGTTTACAATAGCTAGATTTCTGAAAGCTTGCCTAAGCTCCCTTTCTGGTTGAGGGATGTAGGAGTTGTATACTGAGGATTTCCAGCATCCCAGTCTCTTAACGATGTGTACCGGAGTGTTAGTGCTTGAAGCCGATGATGCAGCGCCGATGCGAAACAAGTGACCAGAGAAGGAAGCTGGGTTGTAGCCCAATCTTGACAGTAGAGTTCTGATTTGTGAAATAAACTTAGCTGTGGTGAGTGGGTGTCCTTGGAGTAGAAGTAGTGGGGGTGTCTGGTGAGTGTGTGTGTGTGGGTGTGGTGAGATAACAGGAGCAAATCCAGAATATGTACTGGGTACCACAGATTCTCGGTAGGGAAGAGGGGAATGATAGTGGGATAGGCAGAGTGATTGGTTTTAGTTGAAGGTAAGGAGAGTATGTAATGGTAGTCTACTTTCTTTAAGTGGGAAAGTTTAAGACAATGGACTGTGTCTCCTTGACGTATCACAGTGAACTCTCTAGGTCTGAGGAAACCGTAGAAAGCCAAAAAGATGGCGGCTTTATTGTCCAATAGGTCGCTAAGGAGCCTGAATATTGGATCGTCTATTGGTAACCTAGTAGTGCTAGGAGGAACTGTGACCTTAAAAATACCTTTAAGGATTTTCTTGATGGGGAGGAAGATAGAAAAGGAACGTGGTTAGGGAAGGTAATGAGCATGTGGTGTTGTACTCCAGTAAGGTAGAGTTTGATAGTGTTGTGTGAAAGTTTTAGGTGTAGATGGCAAAAGGAGGCAAAAGCCACCATGGTTTTGATGGAAAGGTCACCTTGTAAGCAAAACGCGGCGGTAAATTTGTTAAAAATAGTCAATGCCCTAACGTGGTATTGGGAGACGGTGCGTGAGTGCTTGTGCATGGAGTAATAGTTCATTTAAACCAGGATTAGCCAGTGGAACAGAGGTTTCCTGGATGGTTGGAGGTAGGCTGGAAGGGGAGCCTGGCCGGAGACCTGTAATTAAGAGCGTGAAAGAGTGTCAGCAGCTGAGTTGTGGCACCGGGGGTGTGGAACGTTTGATGTTCCTTTAAAGACCGATTAGACACGCGACTGAGAGGGCCCTTGGGCCCCCACAGGTGTCTACTAAAATGGAGGGCCGGCGTACCTTGTTGGGGTCTACAAATGATTGGGCAGGGGATGGGTATGCCGTGAAGTAACACCTGGTGTAGGTCGTGTGATTGAAAAGTGAGGGGAAGGTCGTGAGTCCCATGCGAGAGCCTTTGGGGTGATAGACGTGCTGGGCACATCGTCTTGGCGTGGGCTCTGAAGCATATGGAGCAAATGTGCAACAACCTGCATGCGCTGTAGCTGCATGCGCCTGTGTTAGAGTTATTGCACACCTGCGCCTTACCCAAGAAAGTGATGGGCCTTCCTGTCTTGTGAGTGGGGTGAAGGAGTGGTGGGGTGTGGAGGTGGAAGGGTCTGAGTCTCCAGGGCATAGGTTGGTGGAGTGTGAAGTGGAACCACATGAGGCACAAGACGGGGGCCTCAAACCAGCAAAATGCTGGCAAAACAACTCGGTATCTATCTGGCACCAATCAATTCTAATATTGAACTGTGCCAGATGAGTCGCTGCCTTGGCCGACACTGATTTGTGGTAATTATAGAATGAGGACCCACCGTACTTGATGCCCAAATCCACCACCTTATGCTTATATAAATCAAGCTACTCTCTCCTATGTGGGCACACCGTGCAAATAACATCTCTATAAGTGCCAAAAGCGATAAACTGTGGAATGGTGAGTTTTTGTTCAAACGTGGATCTCTGGCTCTTAAGACTACCGAAATGTCCCCATAGTTGTAAGCTCTATTCTCTAAGATGTCTTGTGAGGCTATGAGGAGGGACATTAAATTTACGTCTTTTCCATCAAGAATATCCTTCTTGATGGAAGCCGGGACAGAGTGGGCTGGTGAGGCGTGGGCAGTGGGAGTAGTGGTGGCAGGTGGGGGAGGGGAGATGAGGGGTATGGCAGTCAGAGCAGTCGAGGTCATTGGTGTAGGGACTGCTGGGGCTGTTAAGTCACCTGGAGTGGCTATGGCCTATTCCACCTTCAGCAACCTGCTGTTTATGGATTGCAGATTGGCCAGTATAGCCGCCAGAGTTTCCTGGGTGGAATCAGAGTAGCCAACTGTGAACTCGTGCCGGCTTGGGTCGTTGGCCGGAGTCGTCAGAAGTTTGTAAAGTTCTGCCTTTCTAGCGGTGGCTGGAAAGGGGATCCCCCGGAGCTTGAGCTCAGCCGATATTTTTGGAATGGTCCAATATCTTAGTGATCTGGGAGTAGAAGGAGTGAGGGATTCCTCCGGAGACCCAGGCCTGGCTGGCGTGCTGGGTACATCGTCTGATGGGGGAAATTGATGATTGGTTCTCGAGACACATTCTGAAAAGAATAATGATATGGATAAGTAGGGTATAGTGGAGGTGGGATGAGACCTCCAGGGGGAACTGGCCTGCTAGCTAATGCAGAGGCGAAGAATTATACCTAGAACTAAGTGACAGGTGAGGCCCTGCTATTGCCAAGTGGCGGTGAGTGGCTCTACCTATGATTCAAAACGTGTGGCCGTGACATGGGAAGCCCTAACTGTAGCCCTAAAGAAGAGCCAGCGAGGTGGCTAGCTATGATTTGGTCGTGGGGCTGAACTTCCGTGTATGAGGTGGGGGTGTAGACCTCGTGGACCGCAGTATTGTTAGGGAAAGCTAGGGCCAGCGCCTAACCCTGAAAGCCAGTTCTCTACCCTGATGGGGGCTTGTCTCTTGAAGGAAGTATATAATGTATGTAGATACTGACCTTGAGTGTTTGTCCTGTATATTTAGACAATGCTCAGGGCGACTTCAATATATATCTCTATATGTACTGTGAAGAACAGGTCCAGGCCAGGAACCTAGGGGTAAGAAAGATGCTAGTAGGCCTGAGGCGTGCCATTGGTATGCCAAGTGTAAAAATGTAGAACGTATGGAATGGTGTGTAACAGTAAAACTGTATCATAAGCACCTGTGTAATCTGAGGGACCTGAACGTTAGTCCAATTTTTTGAGACAAGCCCCTGGGTTCCCACAAATGAGTAATATTTGTGACAGATATGAAGGCAAAGTGAGGCCTTAGAAGGACATAATCGTAGTGAGTAAGATTTAAGGATACCTGATACTGAAACGTCGGGAACCAGGTAGCCTGATGGTCGTTGAAGGCGTAGTGAATCCGCGAAATGGTGTATGTCTAAGTAATGAAATGTAGATATTAAAAACAGAATTAACAATTAATATAATAGTAACATGGAGGGTGAGGCATCTGTGACGGTAGTAGAAAATATCCCCGTCAAGCATTCCCTTCTTCCCATAAAAGAAAAGCACTCAATATTCCATAAGCAGAAATATCCCTGGAATCGCCGAATAATCCACACATGAGCCAAAGCTTAATGCTGGAACAAGACTGATTTAATGGCACACAGAACTCACAATTTAAGCAACACAAAACTCCTCCTCTGGGCCAGGCTAGATAATTGAGTTTCTACAATACACAAAGCTCAATTATCTGCTGGCCAGAAACATTACAATTTATAACAGTTTCAGAAACATACTTTCTATAAGACATACCAATTATACTTTTAACATCCATGGATAGCTGAGGATACTGGTAGTCACATATCCAAATCTCACGAATTTCCGTTCGGTAGTTTCCGTGTCGCATCGTGTGGAAGTTTGACCGGCTTGCCATGTGGAGGTATCCGAGTTACAGTTCCATAGAATCAGTAGCAAGAGCCGGTCTCCGTTCGCATCTAACTACACGAAAACTACAGTTCGTATGGTTCAGCTGGTTACCTGTGAATGTTCCCCTCATTCGGTAGATACCATCTACCGAACGCCAGTTTGATTCGTGCAGGGGAACGTATTAATCCAGGACTTCCATGGGGGACCGGGCGTTCGCATGTTTCCCGTACCGAAAACAGTTCCATGCAATTCATGCGTAAGCCCCGCTGACCGCATTCGTGAGTTTTAAGATGGCCGCCATCCTTTGTTCTCGCCACGTGTTCGTATGTCGAATGGCGGCCACCTAGTAGCAATTAAGTTGCGGTTTTCTCTGTGTTCTAATTGCTACTTGCTACCCAGGGTGTGTGGTCCCTGTTCGGTATACGAATACATTCATTCTCAACATTTGGAACCGAACAATATAGACAATAGCAGGGAGAGAATTAAACTGAAGCATATAGGCAATTGCATAAAAGTCCTTCACAATGGCCCCCCTTTTTCTCCCTGCTCCGGCAACTCGGTTAGACCTTTCCTGGTCCAGTAGTGTTGACGGGTTCAGAGCTGTTAGTCCGAGGATAAATCCGTTTGGCGTGACAATCCATCGGCATTCCTGTTTTGCTTGCCTGGGCGATAATGAATCGTAAAGTCATAGGGCTGTAAGGCCAAGCTCCAGCGTAGCAAACGGGCGTTGTCCCCTGAAACCCGGTTAAGCCACACCAAGGGATTGTGATCGGTGATGAGAGTGAAAGCCCGGCCATAAAGGTAAGGTGTGAGCTTTTTGAGTGCCCATACCAAGGCCAAACACTCTTTTTCAATGGTGGCATAACTGACCTCCCTTGGCAACAGCTTCCGACTCAGGTATGCCACCGGGTGCTCCCCTCCATCCTCTCCGATCTGGCTTAGTACTGCCCCCAGTCCAAACATTGAAGCGTCTGTGTGGACAATAAATCTTTTGTTAGGATCTGGGGTAACCAACACCGGAGCCTTAACCAGAGCAGTCTTTAGTGCTTGGAAAGCCACCTCGCATTCCGGGGACCACAGGACTTGTCGGGGTAGCTTCTTTTTGGTCAAGTCGGTCAGGGGTTTGGCCAGGGCGCTATAGTCGGGTACAAAGCGTCTGTAATAGCCGGCTGTGCCCAAGAAAGCCATGACTTGTGTCTTGGTGTGGGGAGTGGGCCAATTGGCAACGGCCTCGATCTTAGCCGGCTCCGGCCGTTGCTTACCACATCCTACTCGGTGGCCCAAATATTGTACCTCCGCCATACCCAAATGACATTTGTCGGGTTTCAGGGTCAGCCCGGCCCCCCTGATCCTATCTAATACTACCCCTACGTGCTCTAGGTGCGCTTCCCATGTATCGCTGTGGATGGCGATGTCATCCAGGTAAGCGCATGCGAAGCTCTGGAGACCCCCAAGTAACTGATCCACCATCCGTTGGAAGGTGGCCGGGGCGTTCTTCATCCCGAACGGCATAACCCGGAATTGGTATAGGCCGAACGGGGTGATGAAGGCCGACTTGGGTATGGCATCTTCTGCTAGGGGAATCTGCCAATATCCCTTGCATAGGTCTATTGTGGTCAGATACTTCCCTGCAGAGATACGGTCAAGCAGCTCGTCCATCCGTGGCATCGGATAGGCGTCCGTAACCGTCTTGTCGTTGAGGCGCCGGTAATCTACACAGAAGCGGGTTGTCCCGTCCTTCTTTGGCACTAAGACTACCGGCGAGGCCCAAGGACTTTCTGAGGGTTCGATTACGCCTAGCCGAAGCATCTCATCTATTTCCTTCCGCATCCCTTCCCGGACTGCTTCTGGGATACGGTAAGGAGGCTGTCTCAGGGGTGCCTGTCCTGGAGTCTCCACCTTGTGTATGGCTAGGAGTGTGTACCCCGGCTCCTGAGAGAATGTGGCCTGTTTCGTTTCTAGTAAGCGGACAGCTTGAGCCCGCTCTTGCGGCTCCAGCTGTTCCCCTAGCTGGACTTTCTCTATCTGGGTCATCCCTTCGTTACTGCCCAATAGGTCGGGAAGGGGTAGGGTCTCTGTGTCTTCCCCTGCTGGTGCACAGATAGCGGCTACCTCCTCTGCCCGTTCCTAATAGGCCTTGAGCATGTTGATGTGAAAGGTTTGTTTCACATCTTCATCCTCGCAGCTGGCTATCGTGTAGGTAGTGTTGCATATCTGTCCTATAACTTTATAGGGGCCCTGCCAGGCGGCCTGGAGCTTGTCTGTTCGGACCGGCCTTAATACCATGACCTTTTGGCCTATCTGGAAGCTCCGGTGCCTAGCCCGTCGGTCATACCATACCTTCTGGCGCTGTTGGGCCGCCTGGAGGTTCTCTCGCACTGTCTGGGCTAATTCCTCCATGCGGTCCCTCAGCTCCAGGACATAAGGTACAACCGGGGTCCCCTCAATTTCTGTTTGCCCTTCCCAGTGATCCTTGATGAGATCTAAGGGCCCCCTCACCCGCCTCCCATAGAGAAGTTCGAAGGGTGAGAATCCGGTCGATTCCTGCGGCACCTCTCGGTAGGCAAAGAGAAGGTGTGGCAGGAATCGCTCCCAATCCTTGTACGCCCCCGTGAACGACTTCAACATTTGCTTTAGCGTTCCGTTGAAGCGCTCGCACAGGCCGTTAGTCTGGGGGTGGTATGGGGAGCTAGTCAGGGATTTAACTCCACAGGTTTTCCATATCTGCTGGGTTACCTCGGCCATGAATTGTGTACCTTGGTCGGACAGAACCTCCTTGGGAGAGCCTACTCGGGAAAATATTTTAACTAGGGCCTCTGCTACGATCTCAGCCTGTATGTTAGAGAGAGCTACCGCTTCGGGGTAACGGGTTGCGTAGTCTGCTACGGTGAGTATATAACGCTTGCCGGAACGGCTAGGTTGGGCCAGGGGCCCTATAATGTCCACGGCTACCCTTGTGAACGGTTCTTCAATAATGGGCATGGAAACTAGTTTAGCCTTTGGGTGGTCTCCCTTTTTACCTATATGTTGGCATACTTCGCACGTTTGACAATACGCCCTGACGCCGTCGGATACCCCAGGCCAGAAAAAGTTCTGGGTTATCCGATACCCTGTCTTGCGTATTCCCAAATGGCCTGCAAAGGGTACGTTGTGCCCAAACCTCAATAACTCCCGCCGGTACTTCCGGGGAACTACCAGCTGGCGTTTTTGCTTAGGCCCTGGTGCATTACCCCGGGTCTCGGTGAGCCTGTACAAGCGGCCTTTCTCCCAGATAAATTGCTCCTTCTCTAACCCCCCTTGGCCCCTTCTGGCTTTCTCTCGATACTTTCTGAGGGAAGGGTCTCCGGTCACCTCCCGCCCAAAGTCCTCTGGGGTGTCCCAGGGTAGGGGTTCTACAGTCAAGGGTAGGTTGGGTTGGCTTACCTGGGTCTCAGTAGGAAGCGGATGGCTCTCGGCAGCGCGACTTTGTGCTCTGGTGGTTACTGCGTGGGCCTCCTGAGCGGTGGTAGAGGTGAACGCCGAAGTCAGGGGGCCAATGTCGTTGCCCAAGATGACTTCAGAAGGTAAGTCTTTCATGACGCCCACATGAACATTGCCAGCTCCCGCACCCCAGTCCAGGTGTACCTGTGCAGTAGGAATACGGTATACTGCCCCCCCTGCCACTCTCACAGCAATTGATTTCCCCGGTTTCTCTGATGCATTAATAAGGTGTCTTTGTACCAACGTGATGGTTGCCCCACTGTCTCTTAATCCCCGGGCGGTTTTTCCGTTAACCATGACCAGCTGACAATGGTGTTTCCTATTGTCCGTAATAACAGATTGTACCATGAGGGCTTCGTAAAGGGTGCCCAGTGGTTCTTCCTGACCCAGCTCCTGGGGATCCCAAGCCGAGTCTATACAATGGGCTGCTGCTGGTGGGCGGTACCCAGGTCGAGACCAATTTGACCTGGTGTTGTTGTCCATGGGGCAATTCTGCTTGAAGTGACCCAGCTGTTTGCACCGGAAGCAGCGTTGTTCATTGTCCTCCTGGCGTGGATAGCGAGGGCTAGATGTCACCGGTCTGTTAGGAGGTTGGTATCTAGCGGCTGGTGGATGTGAGGGCACCGTTGGTCGTGGAGGTTGTACCCATGGTGTGGCCTGGTTCGTCTTGCGAGTATCCGCATATTCATTCGCCAACTTAGCGGCTTCTGGTAGAGTCATGGGCCTGCGATCTCTCACCCAGTCTTTGACATCCGTCTGGATGTGCTTGTAAAATTGCTCCAGGAGCATTAGTTGCAGAATGTCCTCTGCGGTGGTGGCCTGGCTGCTGTTAACCCAGTTAGAGGCCGACAGGGATAACTGGCATGCCCATTCCACGTAAGAGTCTTTCGTGGTTTTGCGTGAGTCTCTGAACTTCTGTCGGTAGGACTCTGGGGTTACTGCATAACGAGCCAGGAGCACTTCTTTAACCCTGGCATAGCTATGGATCTCGTGTTCTGGCACGGTCCGGAAAGCATCAGAAGCTTTGCCTGACAGTTTGCCTGACAATATGGAAACCCACTCTCCCCTAGCTATTTGGTGCAGGTTACATTGTCGCTCAAAATCTGCCAGGTAGTTATCAATTTCACAGTCTTTTTCATCAAAAGCTTTAAAAGCGCTAAACGGAATCTTCCTTGTGTCTGCTGTGCTGTACTCACTGTTTGGAGAATGTGCGGCTGCTTGTTGGACTGCTGCCAGTTTTAACTGTAGCTCTGCGTCTATTATTTGTTTAGCCTCCTCCGCTAACAGGTTCATCACTTTCAGCACCACATCCGCCGTTGGGTTCGGACCGAACCATGCTAGCTTCTCTCTCATTACCTTGTTGGCTGGTGATTCCTCCTCCTGAATCACTGGTGTCTCCATCTCTTGTACTGCTGGCATTGCTGCAACCAAGTTCTCCTGGTCTAGCTCCATTAATTCTGCTATGATGACCCGCTTGGTTTTGTTGCTAGCAATCCTTCCACGAACTTCCAGTAGTTCTTTCAGTGTATTTCTTTTAAGCAGGGTGTACCAGCCTTCCATTCACTGTTCCCAGTGTCTGCTTGGAATCCTGGTGTAAAGGAAAAGTAGAAGGGAAAATCCCGCCGCTGCCAACCAGTTGTGACGGTAGTAATCCCACTTTTAATGATTGTTTTGGCTCTTTTTCTCCCGGAGCTCCGCGGCCATGCGTATGCTCGCTTCAGTTGCTAGACTCCGCCCCCGGGTTAACTGTTTCTTTAAGAGAATACCCCTGGGAATATATGCATAATTAAATGTGACAATAAGTGGCGAATGGTGCCACTTAGATTTAGGGAAAACGTAGGGAGGACCGTGAACATATTGTAGCGTTACTTACCTTAACCGGGGGCCGGTCGCGGTCCTCTCTTCAAGCCGCGCGCGGTCCTGCGGCTGCACGAGCCGCGCGCGGCTCATCCAACTACTTCGGATGGAGGGCGGGCAGTGACCGCGTGAGGCGGTCACGTGTCCCGCCTGAAACTAAGAGCGCGCCGCGAGTCTCGGGCGCGCTCTTAAAGGGACAGTGGGTGCCTAAATTGGAAAAGGCATCCCATTGGTCCCTGTCATGCCACACTCCCCATACACTTACCTTTTGGGGGCGTGGATGTGACAGGGACCAATCAAATTAGATGTTTAGGTATTTATACTCACCTTCTTCCCTTTGTTCCTTGCCCTATCGTGGTTTCTGTTTCAGTTCCCTTTAGCGCTTGTGGTGTTCAGTTGTGTTTTCTCGTATTGACTTTGGCTTCGTATTCTGACTTCGTTTTCGCTTTATCCTTATCTGTACTGTTTGCCGGCTTGCTGTTTTCCGTGTACCAGACCCCGGCTTGTCCTAGTTTACGCTGTCTCTCTGTGCCCTTGACCTCGGTTTGTTCCTGGCTCTGTCTTCTCTCATATACATCAAGTCCGGCCATTCTAAGGTCCGGTAGACGTATCTCTCCTCTGTATTTGCCTCTGTTTAGCTGGATCCTGCGTGTAGGGGTATATTCTCGTTACATTACGATAGGGCCATGGACCCCGCAGATTTAGCTCAACAGATGGCGTCCCATGAGGCAAGATTTGTAGAGCAGGATCACCGTATGGATCAAATAGCTCAGGCTCTCCAGACGCTCCTAGCTAGAACCGTTCCAGCAACTACACCTAACCCTCCTACGCCCCTTCTCCCTGAAGTATCTACTTTGCCTAATACTTCGGCCCATTTAACACCTCCTCCTAGGTATGGAGGGGACTCTAAGACTTGCAGAGGGTTTATTAATCAGATTGAATTTCACTTTGAAATGTATCCACGTTCATTTCCCACAGAGAGGTCTAAGGTTGGGTTCTTTATGCACCAACTTACCGATAAGGCACTTGAGTGGGCAAATCCTATTTGGGAAGCTAATGGGCCTATGGTACATGATTTCAACAGTTTTCTTACGGCTTTTCGTAGAACTTTTGACACAATGAAAAGGTCAAAGAATGCCAAGAGCATTAATGAGAATTAAACAGGGTTCTAGGTCTGTGGCTGATTATGCTATTCAGTTTCGCACTCTTGCTTCGCAGGTAGATTGGACCAACAATGGGTTAACTACTGCCTTTATGGAAGGTTTGTCAGATACGATATTGGATGAGGTAGCAGCTAAGGAGCTTCCTATTGCCTTAGAGGACCTTATCGATTACCTCATTGATATTGATAATAGAATTCGTGACAGGCTCTATACCAAGAACAGGAATAGACGTTTTGTTACACCCATTAACCCCAGAGTTAATATACCAGAGAGTGTTAAAGTGTCTGAGGAGGAACCTATGCAATTAGGGGTTGCCAAACTCTCTGATACTGAGAAATTACATAGGAGAAGGGAGGGACTCTGCCTATACTGTGGTAGGAGAGACCATATGGTAAAGGAATGTCCTTTACTCCCGGAAAACTCTCGCACCTAAGACCTTATAGGGGACTGGCCTTGGGTGTGATATCTAAGTCTCCTAAATTGCCTCCTAACCGCTTGCTTCTCCCGGTTTCTTTATATATGGGAGAGATTTGTATAGTTGACAACATATATGCTCTGGTTGACTCTTGGGCAGCTGAAAATTTTATAGACTCTGGCTTTATAAAGAGAAACAACATTCCCATCAGAGAGAAGGAGATACCCTTGGCCGTTGAGGCCATAGATGGTAGACCATTAAGTTCTCCAGTTGTTACTCATGAGACTGAACCACTACACATGTACACAGGGGTTTTACACTACGAAACCATTCGATTCCAGGTTATCACCTCTCCCTCTTCACAGTTAGTATTAGGGTATCCATGGTTACGTGCTCACAATCCCATTTTTGACTGGGAGACAGAGCAAATAAAATCATGGAGTAAGGCCTGCCACGAGTCTTGTACGTTGGAAGTCACACCTTTGAATTCTATTGAGGTACCTACCAGTCCTCCTTTGTCTATGGTTATACCCCCTCAGTATTTATCTCTAAAGACTGTTTTCGATAAAAGGGAGGCTTAGAAATTACCGCCTCACAGACCCTATGATTGCGCTATTGACTTGTTGCCTGGCACTATACCTCCAAAGGGCAGGGTGTACCCCTTATCGGTTCAAGAAAACCGTGTCATGGAGGAGTACATCAAGGAATCACTAGAAAAAGGGTTTATTAGGAGATCCACTTCTCCAGCTGGAGCAGGGTTCTTCTTTGTATCGAAGAAAGAAGGTGATTTAAGACCGTGTATAGATTATAGAGGTCTAAACAAAATCACTATCAAAAATGCATACCCCATACCTTTAATTACAGAATTATTTGACAGGCTGAAACATGCCACTGTGTTCACTAAATTAGACCTTAGGAGTGCATACAATTTGATACGTATAAAGGAAAATCACGAATGGAAGACTGCATTCAACACTAGATCCGGTCATTACGAATACACTGTTATGCCATTTGGGTTTTGCAATGCCCCAGCAGTATTCCAAGAATTTATTAATGATGTATTGAGAGATTTTATTCACACATTTGTTATCGTATACTTGGACGACATTTTAATATATTCTGCAGATATACACACTCATCACAGACATGTTACGACAGTTTTGAAGACCCTTTTTGCTAATGGTCTTTATTGCAAGCTAGAAAAATGTCTGTTTGACCAAACCGAAGTCCAGTTCTTGGGGTATTTGATTTCCGCTAAAGGTTTTCGTATGGATCCCCAGAAGCTAGCTGCTGTAATAGAATGGCCTCTACCGCAAGGTCTGAAAGCTATTCAGCGTTTTCTTGGGTTCTCCAATTATTATAGACGCTTTATCAAAGGTTTCTCGTCCATTGTAGCACCTATTACCCGTATGACTAAAAAGGATGGCAATACTCGTGTTTGGTCTACCGAGGCACTTCAGGCTTTTGAATTTCTTAAAACTATGTTCGCCTCTGCACCTATTTTACAGCATCCTGTCCCCTCACTGCCCTATATTCTTGAAGTTGATGCTTCGGATATTGGGGTAGGTGCTGTCTTGTCCCAAAGAGAGTCGCCTGAGAAGCCATTGCATCCATGCGGCTTCTTTTCTAAACAAATGTCCAAAGCAGAGAAAAATTATGATGTGGGTAATCGTGAACTCCTTGCTATTATTTTAGCACTTAAAGAGTGGAGACATTTGTTAGAGGGAACTAAGGATCCTATCCTCATTTTTACGGATCACAAGAACCTATCCTATCTTAGCGAAGCCAAAAGATTGTCTTCCAGGCAGGCTAGGTGGTCACTATTTTTGTCTCGTTTCAATTTTATTATCACCTATAGGCCAGGTGATCGCAACACTAAAGCAGACGCTCTGTCCAGACAGTTCGAAACTACTGACAAACAGGAGATTGATGTTACTCCTGTCATTCCCCCAGACAGGATAATAGCTACTACTATTTTGTCTATTTCCTCGTCCCTCTTGCAGACCATACAAGCGAAACAAAGCATGGCACCTAGCGAGAGGCCTAATGATAAACTGTTCGTTGATGTTCCTGAGAGACGGGATATTATGTCATTATATCATGATACTAAGACTGCTGGACATCCTGGTATTTCCAAAACGGTGTCAGCTGTTTCTCGGTATTTTTGGTGGGATTCCTTACGAAAGGATGTCACTGACTATATAAGTGCTTGTACTACTTGTGCCTGTATGAAATCCTCCCGTAGAGTTCCTTGTGGGCTGTTGCATCCGTTACCCGTTCCCGAGAGACCTTGGTCTAACCTGTCCATGGATTTTATTGTTGAATTACCCCCTTCAAATGGTAACACAGTAATCCTGATGATAGTGGATCGGTTCTCCAAAATGGCTCACTTCGTGTCTCTTCGCAAGTTGCCCACATCTAAGGAACTGGCTCATATCTTCGCTAGAGAAGTATTTCGATTACATGGGATTCCCGTATCTATTGTATCCGATAGGGGTAGCCAATTTATTTCCAGGTTCTGGAGGGCCTTTTGTTCAGAAATGGGTATTTCTCTCTCATTTTCTTCCGCTTATCATCCCCAGTCTAATGGGGCTGCTGAACGTGCCAACCAGTCTCTGGAGCAATACCTCCGTTGTTTTGTGTCTCACCATCAGGACAATTGGTCTGACCTGCTTCCTTGGGCTGAATTTGCTCGGAATAACGCCACTCATGATTCTTCCGGCAAGAGCCCTTTTTACGTTGTCTATGGCCAGCATCCCGTTGTTCTTCCGGCTGCATTCTCCTCACAGGGCATGCCAGTTCTGGATGAGCATTTGGCTGGTTTGCGTAATACTTGGGAGCAGGTTCAGCGTTCTTTGGTGGACTCTGCTACTCGCCAGAAGGCTCAGGCTGACAAGCATCGCAGAGCAGCTCCGTCCTATGTTGTGGGGGACAGGGTTTTGCTTTCCACGCGGAATATTCGTCTCCGGGTGCCTTCTATGAAATTGGCTCCCCGCTTCATTGGACCTTATCGTATTATACATAAGGTTAATCCTGTTTCTTATGCCTTAGGCCTGCCTAAGAATCTACGTATTCCTAATGTTTTTCACACCTCATTGTTGAAACCTTTCGTACGCAACCGCTATACCCGGCATACTCCTCCTCCCCCTCCTATCTCGGTAGAGGGTCATGAGGAGTTTGAAGTGTCTGCTGTTCTTGACTCTCGTTTCCTTAGGGGTCGACTTCAATACTTGGTACATTGGAAGGGTTATGGGCCTGAGGAGCACAGTTGGATTTCGGCCGATGCTGTCCATGCTCCCCGTCTTGTGCGCTCTTTCCATTCACGTTTTCCTGCCAGGCCTGGTCCTACCCGCCCGGGGGGCGTGTCCTCAGGGGGGGGTACTGTAGCGTTACTTACCTTAACCGGGGGCCGGTCGCGGTCCTCTCTTCAAGCCGCGCGCGGTCCTGCGGCTGCACGAGCCGCGCGCGGCTCATCCAACTACTTCGGATGGAGGGCGGGCAGTGACCGCGTGAGGCGGTCACGTGTCCCGCCTGAAACTAAGAGCGCGCCGCGAGTCTCGGGCGCGCTCTTAAAGGGACAGTGGGTGCCTAAATTGGAAAAGGCATCCCATTGGTCCCTGTCATGCCACACTCCCCATACACTTACCTTTTGGGGGCGTGGATGTGACAGGGACCAATCAAATTAGATGTTTAGGTATTTATACTCACCTTCTTCCCTTTGTTCCTTGCCCTATCGTGGTTTCTGTTTCAGTTCCCTTTAGCGCTTGTGGTGTTCAGTTGTGTTTTCTCGTATTGACTTTGGCTTCGTATTCTGACTTCGTTTTCGCTTTATCCTTATCTGTACTGTTTGCCGGCTTGCTGTTTTCCGTGTACCAGACCCCGGCTTGTCCTAGTTTACGCTGTCTCTCTGTGCCCTTGACCTCGGTTTGTTCCTGGCTCTGTCTTCTCTCATATACGTCAAGTCCGGCCATTCTAAGGTCCGGTAGACGTATCTCTCCTCTGTATTTGCCTCTGTTTAGCTGGATCCTGCGTGTAGGGGTATATTCTCGTTACACATATGTTATTAAAGAATACCTAGAGGAACATACTTAAATTGTAAAATTAAACATGCTTAAAACCTCATGCGTTCGGCTAACGAACGTGCAAGAGGAATATAATAGGACCGCATGTGATAGATTTTATGAAATGAAAAGCTAGTAACAAAGCTGTTCGTACATGTTTCGGCTAAACGAAAGTGAGAAACAGACGAACGTAAGGTGAGTATAAGCCTTCGGTAAATTATTTTAACGAAAGAAGAACGAAAGTGTGTGTACTCTGCGGTCGGCTAAAAAAAACGCACGAACGCAGAAGTACACGAACGGGAAGTACACGAAGTAATATAGCTATCCCCGCGTTTTTAGGCCCGAATGCTTGTGTGTGTGCCGGTAGGGCCGCCACCAGAAATTTTGGGGCCCCTAACTCAGCTCGCCTCCAATCCTGTCCACAGGGTCCACCTCCAAATCCCGCCCACAGGAATACACACACAGTCACAAACACACACACTGATACAAAAAGGACACAGATGTACACACACACAGATACATACTAAAACAGACATACACGCATATAGGCATACATACTGACACACACATACTGAGACATACACACATATACAGACACACAGGTATATATAGTGACAGACAGACACATACTAACATACAGACACACATGCATGAGGACATACAGATACCGACATCCATACACACATACATTCATAATGACCTACAGACATACATACATATATATATATATATATATACACAGACACACTGACATACATACAGACACTGACATCCATTCACACATACATTCATAATGGCATACAGACATACATGCAGACATCCATACACACGTTCATAATGACATGCAGACATACATTGATACTGGCATACATACATATATACATACAGACATATATACTGACAGACATACATAGATGCATGCATTCATACAGACACACACACAGAGCTAATTTTCCAGCCACCCTCCTGTTTTACCTTTTTGTTGCAGGAGGTTGGCTGGAGCTGATGGGACCGGGAGTCGGCTGGCTCTCCCTCACTGCCGGACACGTGCTCCTCCCGCGCGGAGTGAGCTGGGAGGAAGTGAGCACTTGCTGCGGCTTTTTTTTTTTTAAAGGGGCCCGGTCGCGCTATACCACGGCCACAGTGCTGACCGGCCCCCTGAAGATATAGGGCCCATCGGGTGGCCCACGCACTTAGTGTGTGGGCCCTGGTGCAACTGCACCGGCGGCAGTTCCGCTGCTACACGCGGGGGCCGGCCCCCCCAGCCCCGTGACAACCATCATGGTAGCCGGGTAACGAGTAGGGAATACAGCAGGACAGCCGGTGGCAGGAGATGCTGAAGACTGTTTGTTCGAGGCAAGACTGGCAGGAACAACGAACCGTAAGTGCAGGTAACTATGGAGACAAAACAGCTTGAACGGCAAAGGTAAGTAGGGGGGTTCATATAGAGTCACAACTCCTCCCACAAATTCAGGCCTTCCAACATATCAAAAAATAAAAAAGGTGCGCTATACCTTAAATTTTTAAAGTGCTACAAAATAAGTGTCAGTGCACTGTGCATTCAAGAATTACTAATATAATAATATTATTGGAACAATGTGCAAAATTGCAACTGTGTTCTGTGATAATATATTTAAAACCACTTAACCAAATTAACACAATCATAAAAAAAAAATGTTAATTTGTAATACTTTGTTGAGAATCCTTTGCAGGCAAAAACTACTCGAGGCCTGGAACGCATGGACATCACCAAACACTGGTTTTCCTCCTTTGTGATGCTTTGCCAGGCCTTTACTGCAGCTGTCTTCAGTTGATAAGGATCAGGTATCAACAGGTGATCCTGATGAAAGTCCCGGACTAAAACGTTGATCCAGCCTTTTTAACCCCTTAAGGACACAACTTCAGAAATAAAAGGGAATCATGATGGAATATTTCCGTCATGTGTCATTAAGGGGTTAAATGATTCTACAATAAAGCATTAAGTTTTAAACTTAGAAAAATCCATGATTGCTGGTCATCTCCCTGCAGTATATATATGAGATTCAGTGTGTAATGGGATGAAGCATGTATGTATATATGTATGTATGTATGTGGAGTTGAAGGTATGTGGGGAAGAAGTGTGTATGTGGGTGAAGATATGATGTGTGTGTGTGTGTGTGTGTGTGTGAGGGGTGTACTGTGTGTGTATGCAAAGGTGTACTCTGTGTTGGTGGGAGTGTACAGTATGTGGGGGGTTCACTGTCTGTGAAGGTGTACTGTGTTCAGGGGGGTGTAGAGAGTGGAATAGGGAAAAGCTTTGCAATGTTTGCTTTAATAATTGTTTTAAAAAAATATTCCCTTTTCCCTGACCTTGCAGGGAGGGGGTGGTACAATCAGATTCGTGGTGGTTGAGAAGGCTGCCTATCCATTGGGTAAAAGGGAGGTCACGAGGTGAAAGGTATCTCTTGGAGCTCAAGCACTTACACAGACTAACCCGTACAAACCCACAGACTGACACACACACACACACACACACACACATTGCTTCCCCACACAGAGTGACCCATACATACACACACAGACTGACCTCCCCCCCACCACACACAGACTGACCCATACATAAACAGATTCACCCATACACACAAACAGACCACCCACACGCAGACTGAAGCCCCCACCCCCACCCCCACACACATACAGACTGACCTTCACACACATACAGACTGAGGCCCACACACACACACAGACTGAGCGTCACATCATGCCATGTTCTGCGGAGATGTCTGGCTTTGGCTTCTGGTATCCAGTACTCTTTTTACATTTCTTGTTTAGTTTTTCTTGGTTTTTCTGGTTTTCTATTCTATGTCTGGTTTTCTTTATGCTGGGTTTTTCTGGGTTCTTTCCTGTAATCCGTCCCTGGAATTCCCAGTGTCCAGGTTTCCTTTAAATGTTTGTTTTATGTTGCCGCACCCGTTTGTTTTCCATCATTCCTTTTGTTTCAGTGTTCCTGCAGGCAGCTGCTCAAGCCTTCTGCTCTTTCTTGCAGGTAAGTGCTATATATGTGTTTCTTATGGTTCTTTTAGTATACATTAGGCAGAGTAGGACCTGCCAGATATGGGGTACATTGGCGTTGTTGGCAGGCTTGTGCAATGTATGATCGTATAATGTGACTAAATCAACATGATTTTCATATATAGTACTTGGTTATTTCTCCTCTTGTTTTGCCTATCATATCTTGTCTTGTTTTAGTTTGTATTCCCAGTCCATGTACAGTCCTGTCCTGTCCTGCCCCTGTTTAGTTAATGTTCCCTTATGTATTGTGTACATGTTCTGGGTTTAGCTTCCAATCCTTCTCTGGTTCTGGGTTCTACTAGTTCTGTCTTGTTTTCATGTTTGGTGCCTGTTCTAGTCTTGCCTTGTTTCTGTACTGGATACATGTCTGCTGCAGAGCTCCCCTATCCAGTTCCTGGGAGGTCTGCATATCAAGCTCCTAGTTCCTGGGAACCGCTGTAGCTGCATCAGGGTTCTGGTATGTGGCCGCGCAAATGCTGGTGCTCAACACCAGGGGGCGTGCGGTTACCCTGCACCGGGCCCTGTAATCCACTTCCACGCTGAGACTCCCACTTCTCATCAGGCACTCAGGGGTCCCGGTTTCCGTACCGCCACCCGTGACACTGAGCTCCCCACACACACACACAGTGACTCACCCCACACACACACAGACTGACCCATAATCACAAACTGATCCCCACACACAGACTGACCCATACATAAAACACACACACCCATACACATACACAGACTGAGCCCCCTCTCCCATAGACTGACCCATTCACACACACAGACTGACCCCCCCCCTCACACAGAGACTGAGCCCCCACCCACACAGACTAACCTGTTCCTGCTTTCCCAACAACCAACTGAATCAATTACCCCTTCCAGCCATAATGGAAAGAGGTAAGTCTGTGCAGAGGCAGCTCTAGACTTTATGAGGCCTTAGGCGAAACTCAAACATGAAGCCCCATGTTTGGGGGGGGTGATGGTGAGAGGGAGAGGCGGGTGATGGTGAGAGGGGGTGATGGTGAGAGGGAGAGGTGATGGTGAGAGGGGGTGATGGTGAGAGGGAGAGGGGGTAATGTGAGGGGGGTAATGTGAGAGGGAGGGGGGGTGATGTGAGAAGGGGGGGTTGATGGCGAGGGGGAGGTTGATGGTGAGGGGGGTGATGCAGGTGATGCTGAGGGTGGTGAGGGAGGGTGAGAGAGAACCTACCTTTATTTCCTGGTGGTCCAGTGGGCTCCCTGGTGGTAATTTCTTCCGGTCTGCAGCTCCGCTCACCCGCGGCAACGCTCTGATTGGTCAGTTCTCGCGAGACACATGGTCTGCAGCTCTGCTCACTGTGTCTCAGACCAGTGTCTGTGGTGGCTGGCCGGGCTCGCACCCGGCGGCATACCGGGCAAGCCGCCGGGCCCCCTCCTGGTGTCGGGTCCTCAGTCACTGACTGAGGACCTGACGCAGTCTGCCCACAGACGGTTTAGGCGGCCGCAAGGCCCCTGCCAGCACCAGGCCTTAGGCGGCCGCCTAAACTGCCTAATTAGAGAGCCGCCTAAGTCTGTGTGTGTGTGTGTGTGTGTGAGACTGTGACTGCCTGTTACTGTTTGCCTGTTCATGTGTCTGCCTGCATGTGTTTGTGTGTGTGTGAGACTGCCTGCGTGTGTGTGACTGACTGTATGACTGCCTGCCTGTGTGTGACTGCCTGCGTGTGTGTGTGACTGTCTGTCTGTCTGACTGCCTCCCTTTGTGTGTAACTATCTGCCTGTGTGTGTGACTGTGTGTGTGTTACTGTCTGCCTGTGTGTGTGACTGCCTGCATGTGTGACTGCGTGTTTGTGTGCATGTCTGACTGCCTGTGTGTGTGACTGCCTGCCTTTGTGACTTTCAGTCTGTGTGTGTGTGGCTGTCTGTTTGACTGCCTCCCTGTGTGTGTCTGTCTGCCTATGTGTGTGACTGCCTGCCTGTGTGTGTGACGGTCTGCCTGACTGCCTGTGTGTGACTGTCTGACTGCCTGTGTGTGTGTGTGTGTGTGTGACTTTGTCTGTCTGTGTGACTGCCTCCCTTTGTGTGTAACTATCTGCCTGTGTGTGTGACTGTGTGTGTGTTATTGTCTGCCTGCCTGTGTGTGTGTGTGACTGCCTGTCTGACTGCGTGTTTGTGTGCCTGTGTGTGACTGCCTGCCTTTGTGACTGTCAGTCTGTGTATGTGTGTGACTGCCTGTGTGTGTATGGCTGTCTGTCTGTGTGACTGCCTCCCTGTGTGTGTGTCTCTGTCTGCCTGTGTGTGTGTGTGAGACTGTGTGTGTGTGTGTATGTGACTGCCTGCCTGTGTGTCTGCCTGCCTGTGTGTGACTGTCTGCCTGTGTGTGTGACTGTATGTCTGACTGCCTGTGTGTGTGACTGTCTGACTGCCTGTGTGTGTGTGCGCGACTGTCTGCCTGACTGCCTGTGTGTGTGTGCGCGACTGTCTGCCTGTGTGTGACTGTCTGCCTGACTATGTGTGTGTGACTCCATGCCTGTGTGTGTGTGACTCCAATTGTGTCGCTGTAGCTGTGCCATTGTGTGTGCCTGTCCCTGTATGTGTAACTATCTGCCTTTAACTGAGTGTGTGTGTGCCTTTCACCATGCGTGAGTGTCTGCATGCCTGTAATGGAGTGTGTATGACTGTCTGCTTGTAATGGAGTATGTGTGACTGTCTGCTTGTGACTCTGTGTGCCTGTAACTGTGTGTTTGGCTCTGTGACTGTCTGCCTGTAACTGAACATGTCTGACTGTCTGCTTGTAACTGTTTGTGTGACTGTCTGCTTGAGCCTGTATACAGGCAACTTGGTGGGGTAAGGGGGGGCGCCCTGAAGACTTTTCGCACAGGGCGCCTAACAGGGGTGGACTGACAACCCTCAGGGCTCCCGGGCAAAATAAATCAAGGGCCCCCTTACAGGCCCCACCCATGCTCTGCAGGAAGGGGTGGGGCCTGTCCCATCTCCTCCCTCAGTAAAGGTAAGAAGGGAGAGGGGACATAAATTTATTTATTTAAAAAAAAAAAAAAACACTCCCTACCCTCCTTCCCCCCCCCATACTCTAGCCGGTAGCTCCAGGGCTAGAGTTCACTCTCGCGAGATTTGGAGCGTTGCCATAGTAACCGGGGCAGTGCTCCGTGCTCTCGAGAGTAGGACACGGAGGAGCTGCAGGCTGAGCTCCCGGGTCCTCTCTCCCTCCCTCCCATGCTAGCTGTCAGCACAGTGCCTGCGGACCGGGGAGGGAGATCTCTGATCTCCCTCCCCGGTCCGCAGGCACATTGCAGGGCTGGCACTTGGACAATGCCAGCCCTGCATTAGCCAGCAGGGGAGAATCTTGGGGGGGCAATTGCCCCGTTGCCCCCCCCCCCCGGATCCGCCACTGGGGTGGCAGCCTCGCCGGTCCGGCGGCACTCCTGTCTCTATATATTGAAGGTAATAAGTGTGGGCTACCTTGATATCTAGCACCAATATAGATAGAGTGCCAGTACATATTATTTTTGAATAATGATTTGCCTACCTCTTGGAGAGTGTTCGTCACTTGGCTGGATGTTGTGAACGAGTTAATCTTTACCATGGAAAGGATCCTATTATCATCCACCACTGTTGTTTTCTGTGGATGTCCAGTTCTTTTTGTGTTGCAGAGCTTACCAGTGTGTTCCTTCTCAGAATGTACCAAACTGTTGATTTAGCCACTCCTAATGTTCCTGATATCTCTGATGGATGTTTTTTTTTTTTTTTTTTGTGCAGCCTAAGGATGTCCTGTTTCACTTACATTGAGAGCTCCTTTGACAGCATGTTGTAGGTTCACAGCAACAGCTTCCAAATATGAATACCATACCTGGAATCAACTCCAGACCTTTTACCTGCTTAATTGATGAAGAAATAACTAAGGAATAGCTCACACCTGTCCATTAAATGGTCTTTGAGTCAACTGTCCAATTACTTTTGGTCCCTCAAAAAATAGGGGGCTACATATTAAAGAGCTGTAATCCCTAAATGCTTCCTCCAATTTGGATGTGAATACTGTCAAATTAAAGCAGAGAGACTGCACTTTAAGCCCATATTCATTTTTTAACTGTAATTTGAATTTATTTTGGTAAACAGCTGAAATAACAAACTTTTAACAAAAACAGTGTCCAAACATTTCCGAACCTAACCGTTCATAGCTAGCCTTGTACACACAATTAATATTAGCCATGCACACACAACTAAACTTACAGGGGTATTTACTAAAGTGAGATTTGTCAGGAGTTCAAGGTGAATTTCAAATGTTATTTTTTGAAAATCTTTATTTTTGTCGTGCATAAGTAACAAAAACATCCTGCATTGTCACAACAACAAATGCAAGAAATTGTAGAATACACAATGAAACATGTTACATGAGGTTATGAACATTGAAAGATATCACATTGCTTCATTTCGATGAGACAGCACGTTTTTTTAAGGTTAAGGTTATATTAGCTGCAGGAAAGTACACCTGTATGTGCTAAGATAGCTGGGCATGTAGACATGAGGTGTGGTAACCGCTAGACATATCAGAAGTAAAGCATAGGCTTTGCATAATTATGGAGTACTCGTGGGTGCGTAACATGTCTACAGTATATTGTGTGCATGCAAAACAGAATAGTGGCATTAAAATTAAAAATAAATGGAACATGCGAAGAAAAACGGCAGGGCTGCCCAGGATTATAAACAACTTTGTAAACTAACATAGAAAGTAAGGCGTAGTGGCTGGTTAACATAAGAGAGATTAGCATCATAACAGTAGTGATATTTACATGCTTAGATAAGAGAGAGCATGTTGTGCAGTTGTGCAGTTGTGCACCCTGCTAGGTTTACAAGATAGGTAAACCACTGAGACCCCCTCCCTGAAACTGTAGTGAACTGTGCTAGGTAAACTCAGACAATCATGATGACTTCGCTAGGGTGACAACACGTCATGAATATGATTGCATAATCACTTTATGGGAGTCTTAATTTCTTACAGAGTAGGCACTGGGAAACATAAGGCAGATATTTAATATACAGGCAGGATCATGTCGGTAGTAATCATTATTGGCAGGCAACATGTTATCAGTCCTGGACCCAGGTTAATATGCTCTACCCACACCGAGACTCAGAAACAGGCGAGGGCAGTCCTGAGGCATTAGTAGGCAAGTGCACTGTGTGGTATCTTTCCAGCCCTAGGCCATGTGGAGAGCCCGCACTTTAAGACCACAGACTCGGGGGCCCGTGGCAGAGTCCAAGTCCTTCCCGGATGGGTTGGGATGTGACAAAAGCTCCAGGTATTCTGATGCCGCCTGCGGCGATGGATCTTTCTTGGCCGATATGGTGGGTGAGTTCCCTTGTCGTCCCTCGGCCTAGGTGGGCAATGCCTGCATGGTGCTGTATCTTGTTGGGTACTTGCGCCTGAAGGGGGCACACATGCACCTCCTCATGCTACCTCCTATCTCCTAGCCGGTGCAGTCCTGTTCTGCGCCTCCAGTCGCGCCCAGAAGTGGGTAAAAAGCTTGTCCAAGCATTACTCCAATCCGGCTTGTAACACTGGTTTTGATCGCAACCTGCTTTGCTCTGTTGAGGAAGGTCCATCTGCCATTTTGAAGGGGAGCGTCTGAGCCCACACAGTAGCTACCGTCCGTGGGTGTTGGAGGTAAGTGAGGTCAGTCAGTAGGGACCGAGATAACCCTGCCGATCCAAAGGGGGGATTGGGATAGCAATTCACGGGTTACTCTGTCCATTTAAGAGCCAGGAGAGCGGCCACCTCTCCCTTGCCTATACTCGCTTAGGCCGCGAGCCTCTGGTAAGCGTCCAAGGGCTGGGGAAGCCCATCTTAGGTATCTCCGGGTTCAGTGTCATCCCCGGGCAATAATTAGGTAGGCTCCAGTCTGCAGGAATGAGTGGTCAGGTAGTATGCCCCGATATTCTGTACCAAGCGTGGGAGCTCGTGCTGAGCCAGTCTGGTCTGTCCAACATTCAGGCTCTGCCCCCCAAATTTCACATTTTAGACCAAAGTAGCCAAACTGGAAGTATAGTTGAATTGGAGAATATTTTCAATTCACATATTTTGGCCTTAAGTTTGAATTTTTTTTTCAAATTCCCTTTGGGTTTCTGACAATTCTTACTTTAGTAAATAACCTTGTTAGAAACACACCGACTAATTCATAGACATACACATACTTTCTAAGTAGATTAACCTGACAAACATACATACGTAGACAGTTACAACCATACATTTAATTGAGCAATATTCCAACTGTTCCCCTGGTAGTTTGCCTTTGTCAACTGTGGTATTGAGTGGAGTTGGCATCAGCTAGTGCAAACTCTTTTCTTCTCCTCTTCACACAGTATCACAGTGCATACTGAGTGCCTACATATGATTTTGCATCCTGGCAACCATTAATTTTAGCAGCAGACAATGTAAAATGGAAATGCGGGTTACTAATGATAATACTTGTAAAGGACTATGTCTGTGAATTCCAGGCTTCCATCACTGGAGCAGGTTTTTTGAGTTGGTGGCAGCAGAGAACATGGAACAGGCCAAGTACAAGGAAACAGGTGGTTGCTTTAGGAAGAAGCAGTACATTGCTAGAACAAAAAACGAACAGGGAAAGACCTATTGCTCTAGGCCCAGGACTAGCCTTTGCCTACTTATGTCCCTAACTGGATAATGAGCACAATGACACAACTATGGTCTTCTATATAGCCTTTAATTATTCACTTTCAGACTTGTTTGCATAAAACTTTGGTCTCCACAGTGATTTAATTAATATTGACAATATTCAAGGTGACATAAACCTCATTTAATCTTAGTTATTCATTATCATATGCAGTCTCTGAAACACTACTTTTTATTCTTGTGCCTTAAATGTCCTGGTTGGTGATGGGGAGTATGTCTGCTGTTGTAAGTAGTGGGGTGGCAGTCACATGAGGTGGAAATAAGGCGAGCATGTCTACAATCCTGATAAATAGAAATGCATTGATTAGGTACGTGTGTGTGTTGTGTCATGAAATTACCATAACTATTTACCCAATGTCATTTTGGATTAATGGGGAACTATTCTTTGTAACAATTGCACCTCCGTGACAGCATTACTGACACTATAAACAGGATGGTGTGGGTTTTTAGCATCTTAATTGGTAACTTCCACTTAGCTCATTATAAGCTCAATATTTTATCATATAAATTTTAGTAGGTATTATCTGAGACCTAGAAACATTTTGCTTTACTATATAAATGTATGGGGTGTACACTACCTAAATATTATTGACTTACATAACTTTTAATGAATAAGGGTCAGTAGAATTTGTATGTACAGGAATTGAAGATGTTACCATTTAGGCAAATTGAATGCCAAAGTATGAACAAAACTACCTGCACCTGGTTACCTGTGCTAGTGTATGTCAATGGGTTATCTCAGCTGAACTCAATATCCTGGATTATGTGTTCTGCACCCACTATATATCTCAAAAGCAGAACTTTAAGTTATTAGATGATGTATAGATTATTTTATTATTTATACAGTGCCAGCAAATTTCCGTAGCACTGTACAATGGTACTTTATGACTTGATTGTTGGAACCAACATTAACATAGATGTACCAGACATTCACCAGTACAGTTCCTTACAAATGTGAAGGCAGCCTTTGTGGGCCATGGGTAAGAGTGAAGTCTCTCAGGAAGCACTGGAAGAGGGAGCGTGTACGAACTGTGAGTGAGAGTAGCTGATTGGAGCTTTGTGCCTCACGAAGCTGTGAGAGTAAACATCTCATCCCAAAAGGAGCCAGCTCCTGCTGAAAATTCAGACACCGTCAGATTCAGTCTCTCGGTCTCCCTAAGGAGATGGTTAGAGTTGAGGGTTAGTTCTCAGAACCTGCGGCTGGGAGTGGGGGAACTGTGAGAGGGGTGCAGCCGATGAAGGGCTGGGGACGCCTGCTCTTTGGGAAGCAGCTGATCCTCTTCTGGCACCAATTGAGCTCGGAAGACACGTAAAATTTCATCCAATTTGTGGTCCATCTGAGTCACCTGTTGGGAACACACACAAGCTTTATATATACAAAGTGAGAGAGAGAATACATAATGATAAAGAGTGCATAATGGGAAACAATGACATGGAGGATTACGTAGTGTATGGATGCCTCCAGAACCAAGAGATGCCATTATATTTTCATTAACACATGCTTTACCATTATGTATCTTTAAATAAAACATTTCTTATTGCAATTTTAATGCATAACAGCTGTCAGTACTAGATTGTCTGTTCTCTGGCATTCCAGCAACCGTGGAGTGCTACACTGACACACACACTCACTAATACCTTTTTAGCAGCACCAGAACATTTATTTCCCAGACTGCCTGGGACTGATGGGAGTCAGGCGTCTTAGCTGAAGATGTAACTGGTGACTGCTGTTATTGATTTGTTACTGCGAGTTGCAGGCAAGAAATGTAACTTTCATGTGTATTCATGCCCAGGGACCCTGGATTATTAAATTTAGTCACCCACACCTGTTATTTACATCCCTGTGTGAGGTTCAGAAGAGAAGTTTCTAGGTAGCCAGAGTAACATGGGGAACAGAAGAGCCATTACCCTCCTCTGTGGCAGACTGAGGGAGCTTGGACTACATATAACAAGTTGTAGCAAATTGGAAACTGAATTTAGGCTTAAATAGTTGAATTGCAAATATTCAAATTCAATATAATTTACGGAGTAAATCCCCATATCTCTCCATCATCTGTCTGTACTAAATTAGGCCCAATAGGCAGGAATGAAGAGAGATTTGTGGCAGAAGGCACCCAGATATCCTGCTCCTCTCCCTGGATGACCAGTCATAGGTG